AAAAAATAAAAAATCCAGCCACATATAGATCACTTGTGATTTACGTGACACATTAATATAGAAAAAGTATTAAATTATCGTTCTACATATTTAAAGCGATAAAATAAATCTTCTCTGAAATAACAGACATAAATTAGTAATAAAATTTTTTATTTTGCAAATTATTTGAAACAATATGAATACTTTAATTGAGTTTAATCACAAATTAAGTTGTCATTTAAGAAAAAATTATTAAATCAAAATATTATATTAAGACAGAAATTAATAACTCAGTTTCTCGAAAAAGAAATTAAGTAATTTAAGCTGAACTATATAACTACGTAAAAAGTGTATGGAGATGAGGTAAGAGTAGACTAAAAAATACATTTGAAATAGATAGATAAGACAGGATTAAATATTACTCCGCGCAGCCTTCTGAAAAAATGGCAGGGTGTAACGAATGCACACAGCCATTTTGAAGAAAGACGTAATTCATCAGGACAATGTGTAATGGGGAGCGTGAGATACAATCTTTCGTTATCTTCTTAATTAGTTTCATTTGGTAATCTCCGTGAACTCCTGCAACGTTTGACAAATGACATAAGGGGTTCTTACTGGAGAGATCTTACATCTTGCCTATCCGATCATAATAGATAACATTTTTAATTAAGCAACGACGAACATGCTTAACAGAAGGATATTTATCTTATCATATGATAGAGGATGAAGAAAAAAGTTTGTTAACGAAAGATTTTACCGGAAAATGTCCTTTGCTAGAATGGACAGGTGAATTATAGACGCGACAAGAATACCTGTGTGAAAATCAATATAGAATAATATTTTATATAATTAATTTATTATAATTATAACTAATAATTCTTGAAATATAAGTATTAATTCTTGAAATGTTAAAGCAGAAACATTTTTTAATGTAAATAACAATTAGAAAAAATTATACACAATATTCTAAGATTTTTCTTTGCTAAACTATTCTTCTTTTTGACTTTCTTTATCTTTTAAACTTTTTCTGAGTTTTATTTGATATATTTCACAAATTTGATGACTGGTAGTGAATCTTCAAACTCAGAAAACTTTATGAAAATTTTAAATTAGAGATAACACACAACAAATCGCATTGTTTATACTCTGATGTGTATTATATATAAAGATGTAATGCCATATATTATAATATTTTAAAAATCTCATCTCCACTTCTAGCAAGAGATAAAATATTTTATAAATATTATTTTAATTTAATGTGTGATAGTCATTCTTATTTAAATGAATACATAGTTGTTTTCTTTCTTAAAACATACATCAAATTGAAGACTTCAACAAGATCAACGTAATCAACTTGCCATGCACTTGTCTTTTCCCTCCTCAAAGTACATAAACCAATGTATAGATTGTGCGTTTCATCCCACAAAATTTATATACTTATCATATCGCAAACCGATCAAAATCTTAGGCAGACTGCAAGTCGAAGAGCTGTAAAGAGGTCGAGTGAGTTCTGTCCGCTTTGCGAGCAACATGCTCTGCCGAGCGTCAAGTAATGCCGCAGGTCTTCAAATATACATGGATAGACTTCGTATCGGATTTCCCTAGCGGGCAAGAAAAGCGGCTCCGTCGGCGGCACTTCTCCTCGCACAAATAAGAAGTTCCTTTGGCGACGCGTCCCATACACATCCCGTTTGTCCCTGAAGCTGCGACGTGAGCTTGGCAAAAGGCAGACTTCAAGGCGTCGCACTCCCCAGTACAGATCTCCGGTGAATCCGCGCGCGGATATAGAAATCTTCTGAATTGCAAATTATACACACACAGAAATCGCCACGAGGAAACCGTAACACTCGTATGAAATACTTAGCATGAAAACGGCAAGTGTCGCAATTGAATGATTTAATCCCTTCGACACGCTCAATTTCGTACATAGAAGGTAGTCTAGATTATGAGACTCTTGCCATAATCATGTTTTTCCTGCAATCTCCCTGCAAGAAAATTCAATAAATAAGAATTTTTTTGCATTCAGCTTGTCGTGAAATTCTATAACTTTACTTACTATTAGTCGTTAGAATTACGAAAAGAATTATCCATATATTTTAAATTTTAGAAAAGAAGTGTGTATATAAAAATTAAGTAAAACTATACTCTGACCAACAAAATTAACTCAACACCTGTTTCGTTCTGCAAAAATAGACAAATTTTAAGATAGAATAACTTCGTCAAAAATCGTCGCATCGAGATGTTTAAAAAAGCATTTTACAGCTTGAAATCTTTACTTTTCAGATCGCTACTTGAAAAAAATGGTCTCACGGAGATTTTATGAAGTTACACAATCATAAATGAAGATATATTGAATCTCAACATTTTTTACGAAATTTGCGGAGTTCCACGGGGCGGACTAAAAATTGTACATAAATGCGATTTACATGATTCGAAAGAGCGAATCTTTACCTTTAATTTGATTTTTTACAAAGCTACGTACGATTTTTTTTCATCGAGTTATTCAACGTTGAAGCAAAAGGGCCAGTGTATAAAGAAAACACATGATGATGTGCTAGATATTATTTCTTATTAAGAAAATTAGTTTTAAATTTTGTATTCATATATAATGTTAATATGTATATAATAAACAAAATTAAGTAAGATTTAAAATATACTGTATTTGATTGTTATTTATCTATTAGGTATTATTTATCTATTTAAGTATTGTAAGGAGTACGAGATAATCTATTAAGTAATCAGTTTTTAATTACTCGTATTATCTCTAAAAATAATATTCCTAAGTATATATGTGTATTTTTGTTACATCTCAACAAAGAAAATATAAACTTTTCCTAATTAATTATATTAGTAAATAACTTATGTACAATTTGATTTTTTATTACATTAAAAATTAATTCGTTTTATTAATATAAATTACATTTAAGGAAAATGATATTATAAAACATATTTATAGAAATAAATGATAAATTAATAATCAAAGATAATTCTTGATCACATATACTGCTTTAATTTCAATTGCTTATAAATTAACCGAATTTATTTCACAAAACGTATAAAATTCAATTTTATCAAGAATGATACACTGATACAAATGCATTTACTTTTAATTATTTCTAATTTTATGTAAGTAACAAAAATTTACATATATTTTCATGTAAAGAAAGTGCACCTTTCGTCATAGGTATTTTTCGATCGCTGACAAACTCATCATTTATGTATTTATAATAAGTATCACTTCTTTCCAATTCCAGAAAAATTAATTCTGTTTATACAGGAAACTTATCTTAAATCATTAACGTTACAGGACTCTACAGAGATAAAGCGAGGCGTTTATCGGTCGTCGTTAATGCCATCGCGGAAAAATTGTGTATCCCTTAACTCCATAGAAATGATTTGCCATCTCCTTGTCGGTCTATTCCCTCAGCAACCCCGTGATTCTATCCCTTCTCAGATTTCTTTCCCTTCCTTGCACTCGCCTCGTCTCTGTCCGGTTGCCAAGTTCCTACGGGACTTCGGAAATCTTGCCGTTCACAAATCTCTTTCCTTGCCTCGACGGAGCAAGAAATGCAACTCTCCTTGGGGAATTAATTGCGCTGTAAAACGTAGATTCAAATCCGCGCTTCAAAGAAGAGAAGAGGCAAGATACGAGAAAGAAAGATAGTGACACCGTTTTCCTTCTCTTGCACCGTTCGAAAGATTTTCCTAAGATGGTTCTCTCATCTCGGCTGCAATCAGTGTCGTAAATTGCTTGCAATCGGTCCTGCAATTAATTCCAGCTCATCCTCTCTCCCTCTCTCTCTCTCTCTCTCTCTCTCTCTCTCTCTCTCTCTCTCTCTTTCTCTCTCGAAGATTTACTATTCTCAATAATATCATAATATTCTTAGATGATCAGACAATTTCTCGTTTTGTCTGTCGTGTTTTCTTTTCGTCAAAGACAATTTTTTATTTCTTTTTATATTTGAAATAAATTAAATAATTGTTATTTTTGTTTAAGATCCATTTTCTTTTTGTAGTATCATTCGAAACTATGACAATCTAATATCTGATATTGTAATAAAGACGAAAATGTGAACAGAGAATATAAAACTAGTCTTTATCGATAAATTTTCTAAACTAGTGCACGTGATATAAGTTGAATGAAAAAAGCTATTATTCTCTTTTTACTTCAAATTATTATATTAATGTGCACCGAAGTTTAAAGAATTCTTTTGTAAAAAACGGGCCTTATGCCAAATATCAATCAAAATTGACTAAAAGTAATAGATATAGTTTAAATTCTAAACCCTAAAGTCTCTTTTTCTCTTTTATCCTAATAACTTTCTTTTGTTCTTCAAACAAATAACCATTCATTGAAACTATGGTTAAGTTTCTAATAAGTTATTATCTTTTAATATACGCGCGCGTGTGTGCAAACATACATAATTATTTCATTTTACAATGATTTAAAAGGCTCAGAAAATATTATTAATAACACTTTGTGAAATATTTATATCTTTATAACACTTTGTATTTTATTTTTTTTTACAATTATTTTATCTCACTAATTATTTTTATAGTTTTGCATTTAGAAGTTAATAAAATAATGTTTTTTGTTGTACCTTTAGAACTGATTGATGTTTGTATATTTTTAAATTATATTTATCAGATTTTTACAATTGGAATACATATTTTACAATAAATTGTCAGAAGGAATGCATTTTGATGAATTTATCATATCTTCTCAGTAACAGCGTAGCTTTTTAATCGAATATTTAGACAGTTATAAGATAATCTGAGATAATTCCATAAAGTTATATAAATTATTTAATTAAAACATTTATTCGAAACGAATAATGTGTGCACGCAATTATTACATATGCTAATTGCAATTTTTAATACATTGTAAACGTCTCATACAATACATTTTTTAAATTTTATTATGGATAATTTTATCGAGAATTGCACACACACATACACACACATGAATTAAATATATAATTAAAATAATTATTTAAAGTGTGAATAATGTGTACACATATTTATGGCATACGCTTTTGAGCAAAAACCGTTAGTACACGATATGCGTCTAATACAGTGTTCTGATTCTTTTTTTGTTTACAGATAATATGTGTTTCTGCATATTTCCGCGCAAATCCTTTTTTAAATTCTTCTTTCTTATTGCGTGGCATATCTTCAATGAAATCAAGGAAGGACACAATAGAGGCTGTAAAAATTGTACCAAATAATTTACTCAGTAATACTTATGAGAACATGTAACGATCAAGCTGAATCTTGGATGCTTCTAATATATAATGTATATTTCATATGTAGATTTTTAATCTCGCATGGATTCGAGTTCGATTTTCGGCCAAGGTAATATTTTTCACAATATACATTAATTATTTACTAATTTTTTATATGTCATTCAACATTATTAAAATCCAACGTGCTTATATGAGCATCAAAATTGTTAAGTTGTTAGTCAATTTAACTCGTGATAGTACTGAGGTAGTTTATTTGTGTTTGCGGTGTATATAAGTCTGAAAAAAATTTCGACGCGCATTTAAGAATCTATACGTAGTATATACACAAAATTATATATTAGAAGTATCCAAGATCCAGCTTAATCGTTACGGCATGTTCTCATCGGTATTTAGTTTCACGGTCTAATAAGATTTGATATTGTTTACTCAATAATATGTAATCTAATAATGTAATCTTAATAATATAATTTAATGTTAGGATTAAATTAAATTAATTAATTAAATAAAACTAAATTAATAAATTGAAAAGAGTTAAAAATTACATTATACCTAATAATTATACAAAATGTTCTGACATTCGCAACATAAAATATTACAGCAAGATACTACACGAAAAATTGAGTATATAGCATAAAAAGATTATTTGTAAATTTCTATTTTAAGTAATAATTTTTGAATTAATAAAATTTTTATGGTTAATTACAAACTATGCTTAAATAGTCACATGATAAGTTGTATGCAGTGGTATTAAAGAATGTTAATAAACGCGCGCTTTAATGCGTTTACTAATATTCACAGATGACCTTCTAAACGTAAAATCTATTTAATTAATTAGCTATTTAATTAATTAATCATATATCCTTTATATCTCAGAATTTCTATTTTGCTTAGAACGAAGTTTATAAATAACTTCATTTTTACTTAATTTTTCGGAAACAATTCTTTATTCAATATTTCGAGTCGCTAATTTCTGAACACACATATATAATATTAAATATTAAATATTATAGTTAACACACTATATAGTTATAATTTCTCTAAAAGTTTAACTTTTATATATTTGTTTTAATAAAATTACCAAAAAATCTATCCGGATTTTCATCAAAATGGTATGTTTCTCGATGGCTGCAATGATTAACGGTAAATCCGACAGTTTCAAGCAGTTTTTTTAATTCCTTGCGAGGATTGACTGCTTTTTGAAATGGCCAAATGTACTTATTTATATCCTGTATAAATATAACATTTTATAATAAACAATGATAACAAAAAATAAATGAAATAATTGATAATATATAATTGAATATTTCAGAATGTTAATATACTTAAACAAAACATTTACTTTTATATATGATGCAAAACGAGCATTGTATGCTAAGTTTTCTAAAACCTTAAATATATTATGAGATGCTACAAAAAGTATAAGCATAGTTCCATTGGGTTGAAGCATGCGATAAATATTCTCAAATGCCTGTCTATTTAATAAAGAAAAAATTAAAACTAATTTGTGAAAAATATTTGTTCTCTAAGAATCTAAGTTATTAAGTAAATTATTGGTCTAAAATTAATTATTTATAAATTAATTTGCAATTAAATATTTTGCAGTATTATCTTGATATAATTAAAGTGCTTATTAATATCAAAAACATTGAACGGATTGTGCGTGTGCGTGTGTGTATATATTATTATAAATATAACAATGTAAGACCTTATTTCAAATTTTCATTATATGTTTATTATAAGTAGAGTAGTAACCAAACATAAAAAATACGAAGTAAATGTTTATAACTTATAAATCAATATTAAACCAACGATCTATAACTAAAAATGTAAAATCTTTTTATTGCGTATTATTATACTTATTTCAATCGTTATTTTATAATCTATATTTACATTTACAACAATATAGAAAAATATTAAAAATAAAAATTATTAATTTAAATAAAATTTTAAACATATACTGAAATATTAATTGCAAATTAATAAATATTTATTTTAAAATATGTCGTTGTTTCATTTTATAATATAGAGTTTGAGATATTATAAAAGATAGTTATGTATAATATATTTTTTAAATTACATACACATTATTAATGTCATTCTATGATGCATAATTATTGCTTATTTATAATAACTTTTTTAAATAAATTAAAACTTTTCTTACTTTATGTCATTACACCAATGTAAAGCATGGAATGAAAATACGAAATCAAATTCAGATATGTATTTTGTAGGCAAATTCTTAGTTTGTATATCTAAAACATCATATTCGAGTTTTTTCGGCACACTGTATTTTTTATTTGCATAATCAATCATGTTTTTTGACACATCTGTACCTGTATAATATAAAATTATTGAATTAATTTTACATTATGTACAGTTTTTAAGTAATAATCGTCATATGTAACAATTTATTTTAATATATTGTTCTTATATAAATTATTTTTTTTTACCAATTATTACTGCATTTGAATCAAGAGCCGGTAAAACCATATCTTTTGTTATATCTCCAGGTCCACAACCTATATCAATGCATTTTCCAGATACACTTTTTAGATATTCCTCAAATTCATCAATTAAATCAAATGCTTTTTTCCTTTGTAAGTTGTTATATAAAGTATACTTGAACAAATTATCAAAATATTTGTCCGCATCATTATAATTAGTCGTCATTGTTTAACCACAAAATATATTAAAAAATTTTTAGAAATATCTGTAACACAATCAAATGTTAAAATAATAAAGGTAGATTTTGTAAATGTAAGTATAAGTACAAGATAAATTATTGTTCAATTTAATGGCCTAGGTATGTCAAAATACATATATACATATACGTATACATATACATATATATAATATTTTATATGTATATATTTTTATGTAAGATACTATACAGAATGTTTTAATAACATGTAATTATAAATAATAAGAATCTTATTGGATCATACTTGTGAATACACAATCAATCCTATAACGATCGAAGCTGGAGTTTTAATATTTAAATAATTGCTACCATATTAAAATCCGTAAATAATTTATTGCGAAAAATATTTTCTTGGCTGGGAATCAAATCCCGATTTCGCATTCTGTGCAAGAGTCCTAAATCTGACCACCGAGTGACCTTAATAACAGTTTTTACAATGACCAGTATATATATGTACGGAAACAGACGTCTTATTTCGGGCAACGTATGTAAATAATAAGAATCTTATTTGACCCTAGATGTATACACAACCAACAGTAAATAAAGCCCATAACTGTCGAAGTTAGATCTTTAGTGCTTAAATAATTCGTTGTGAATACTATTAATATCTCTCAAATCTTGCCAAACTGCACATCAAATTAATTTTTCAGTCGTGAAACGTTATACCGACAGAACTACCTTAGTAATACACCATAAATTAAATTATTTAGCTATTTAATAATTTGATGCTCATAGGCATCTTAGAAAGATACAGATTTAATTCCCAGCCGAGGGAATGTTTTTCGGAATAAATTATTTACAGATTTTAATACATATATATTAGCATTAATAGCATTATTAAGATCCTTCTAAAATGCCTATAAGCATTAAATTATTATGTTACTAAGCAATTTATAATAATTTGTGATACTTTTGTGATAGTTTTGTCGATAAGTGTTTCAAGACCGAAAAATTAATTCGGTGCACAGTTTGACAGAATATAAGATACATAGTATAAAAGTGTACATCAAATTATTTAAGCATTAAAGATCTATCACCATTATTGGCTTTATTTCCTACTGGACGTGAGCATAACTTTAGAAATAAATTTAGAATGTAAAAGTTACGCAAATAGTTTATATAAACACATTTGTATTATCTGTTTTTGTTGCAAAATGTAAACGTTTTCGTATTTTATTCTCATTATAAACTAAGTTAGCGTAGTATTTTCACACACTTCTATTTTTAGTTGAGTAAACAATCTTTAGTTAATTATGAACATCTTTCCTTAAATGTAAATACAATAACAAAGATAGATAATCACAAAGGACTTTTGTATTTCTTAAAATTAATAATATAATTGTGTAAACAAGGGCTATAAGAGATCAATCACAGTAATTCAAAAGCTCAATACAATTTATTTTCTCAACTAATAACAATGTTTGAAATTCGAAATAAATACATATATATATATATATATTATGTATAATTTGATATACTTATATGTACATACTTACACATATACGAAATGTTTTATCAATCATCAATTTATCCTTACTGATATTATTACTGATACACGGCTGAGAACAGCTTGAACCAAAGTCGAAATAATAAAATTATATACGAGACACACAGAAATCAGTTGACGTTGTATTAGATTTGCATAAAATATTAAATGCTTACACAACATTAGTACTTTTGTATATTATTCGTAATATAATAAAGAATAAATTAAACATACTAAATTATTGTTTAAAAAAAGAAAATTTTAATTTTATTTATTATATTGCAAAATTTTAATATGAAAAGTGCATTTTTCTCATTTTGTTTGCTGTAACTATAGTTATAACATTTATATTCAATTTTTGCAATACACAACTTTATAAATACTGTTTAAAGATATTACGATATATATATGTAAGAATTACTTACCTTTTTATATATACTGTATGACGATTATATAATTTATGTAACAATTAATTGCAGCTATTGTATTATAACTTTTACGAGCTTTTGTATTTAAAGTAAATTAAATTGCGGCTTTCGTTAAAGATTTTTGTTTTTTCGTGGTGCCGTCTGTTCGTGGTGCCGTTTGCCAAATATCTGATACTGTAATGAGTGTGCGAACCGAAGTAAGGTAGAGAGTCCAAATATCATATGAAAGCTGCGTATTGTAAATGTGGCCAAGAGACTCGTCAAATATATTTGAATATCGTCATCAGTATTTAGGGGAAATGTTGATATTTCCACTGTTAGAAATTTTCTTTGCTGAGATAGGACTATTCCTCTAGATCTAATATGATCGAATCGGCGTAAGCGCTTATTAAGCGCTGATTTTTACTGAATATAGCTGTTTGACAATACAACGTACAGATATCGAGATCAAACACATACGCAATTTTTAACTAATCACTTCTTTTTTAATTTATTATTTTAATTGTACAATAATGTATAATGCTTTACTTTTAGAATATTTTTAGAATATCTTCTTAATATTCGAATCTATCAGTATACTGATAAAATAATTCTTTTAAATTAAGAAATTAAAGAGTATAAACTTTTAATTTTTACTAACCTATGTCTAATGCATAAACATATATTTTGTAGCTTTTCAATTAAATAAACTTTCATATCTATTATAAACACGATGAGGCATTTAAAACACGTTACTTGAATAAATAAAGTTTATTTATTAAAATCCCTGATCGCTTGAAAACGTCTGTTCCGGGTCGGGCCCAACTATTACTTACCTTTCCTCGTTTTTTTAACGGCTGTGACTCTTTGTTTATTTCATTCGTGAAACCTTATAGAGCAGTAGGAGCCCAGTCGATAGGCCGGTGGATTCGCAAGAGATTGGAGGAATACGAGGTGCAAGGTGACCTTCTTTCACAGCATTCACCACGCTTCCACTTCCCTCGCGGCCAGAAAGAGCGTTTCACTTGATCTAATCAAACGGGCGGCCGGGTGGTCGGGCGATTCTTTAATGTTTGCGGGGTGTTTTACAACTGCAAAATTATCAATCCGAAAGCGTTCTGCAATTCTGTTCTACTATCTTAACAGGATATAATTCTATCCTCTGGAAGGTCTAGACGCATTAGGTTTAATCAGCCTTTAGTAACATAAAGATTAAGATAAGGAAGGAAATCTTTATATTGTCTAGTATTTTTTTTCTCTTTTTAGGTATCCTATCTTAACTTTAATAACGCGTAACATAGAGTTCTTTTTTGTTTGTTCCTGATCTATTGTTCATATATATGAGTATATGTTCATATCAGGGAATGGAAAGTTACTTTTTAAAAATAACTAGTTACAGTTACTCGTTACCGAGTAAAAAATGTAACTAGTTACAGTTACAGTTATCGCTTTTTAAAAGTAACTCGTTACAGTTACCGTTACTTGAAAAATAACTTTTCGTTACTTTTCCGTTACTTTTTTAAAATCAATTTAAAAATGTACTTTTGCATTTTTTTTTTATATGTAATACTGACAAATATATAGTTTTAAACAATACAAAACTAAGAAGGGCAAAGAGCCAAATAAATCTATAGAAAATATCAAATATATAAAATTTAATAAAACGCTTTAAAAAAAAACAATGTAGAATGGCTCAAATAATAAATTAAATAAAAGTAAAATGAGAAGGGTTATGAGCCAATAATGAAACAGTTTATTTCCGATAAGAACGACGATGACAATGTAATTAAATGTATAAATATATATTAGAACAATACATAGATAAAACAAGATAAAAACAAACGACGTTTCAAAAAAGCATGCATTGTATATATCTATATAGAATATGATATATATTTATAAGAGTATATTTTCTAAAAATGTGTTGCTCTAAAGATTTTAATATTGATTGTTACCTAATTCCATCTCATTTCGATCAATATACTCCACATAGCCATTTTTAATAAAAGAGATTGTATTCACAAACTTTGTTAAAATAATGATTAATTAATTGTGGCAAAAATTTTCTAAAATGTGTTATTTTCTATGAGTACAAGGATATTGCAACTAATAATTGTAAGTCGTTGTAAACAATATATGCAATGTTCTTGATGCAAGTCATTTTTCACAACCAATTATTATTATATCAGGAATCAATAATTAAGAAAGGAGATTTTTCTGTCATGTACTGATTGAGTTATAATTTTAACAATCAATCCCGTACGACAATCGGTTTCCCTAGAATATGTTTAAATAAGTTTCATATAAAAATGTTAAATCTATTTGCAAGTAATTGAAAGAATTATTTCGAGATTTATTATTATTTTTAGTTACTTTACAAATTCGCAAATACATATCGAATATTTATAAAATAAATAATCTTGTATATATGTATTATAATATTTTGTCAAATTATTTGTAAATATTAAATTAAGATATACGCTCACATACATATTGTGATTATTATGTATAAGTTCTATACTTAAAAATTTGATTTTATAATATTACAAATATTAATCTAGATATAAAACTCACATTTAATTCTAATAATTCCAATTCTAATAAGTCCAATTCTTAATACTTTATTTTTCAATAAATTAATATAAGTATTTATTAATTAATAATATTAATATTATAATATTAGTATACATCTCTGTGCAAAATGTGTTTAAAAAATAATGTTACAATATATAAACGTGTTATTATTTTGTAGTGCATCTTGTCGTCTTATGTTTATCTTGATGTAATTATTATACATTCTTTTGTGCATACACTACTAACGCTTTACATCGATCTAATACAAGTTCTTGCTTATTATATATTGATTTATAAAAAATCTTTCTTTTCATATATTCATATGTAAGTTTATTCTTGAATTTTTTCATTAGGTCATATGGCATGTCTTCAAGAAATGTCAAGAGGCACATTAGAGAATCTATTAAAAAAAAATATATATATATAAGTATAAAATTATTCAATGTTAAATTACAATATACATAAATAAAATAGCATGAAAAAAAATTCTTTAAGAATTAGTAATATAATAACATAAAATTATTTTTTATACATCTTTATAAAATAACTTACTTAAAAATTGTTCTACCATCGGTTTTTCATCGGAGTAGATTATCTCCCGAAGACTGCAATGACGAACTGTAAATCCAATATTTTGAAGTAATTCTCTTAACTCTTTGCGAGCATTTTTTGACTCTTGATATGGCGAAATATTTTTCATTGTATTCTGCATGAATACAAAAATAATAATTATTAATTTATAATTTAAAAATTACATAGCAAATTACATAATAAAACATTATAAAAATAGTAAAATGGTAAATCAAGTAATTAAAATTTAATAATATATATTATAATTTAATAATTTAATATGTGTATATTATGAGTTACAGGTATATATTGTGCAAAGCAGACGTCTTGCTCCAAAAATTTGAGAACTTCAAATAAATCATGAGATGCTATTATATACACAAGCATAGTTGCATTAGGTTTTAGCATTTGATAAATATTCTCGAAGGCTTGTCTGTTAAATTAAAACAGGTAAACGTGTAATTAATGTTTATATATATAAAGAACACATTTATTAATATATTTTTTGATATAATCATGCAAAATAAACGATAAAATCGTCTATTTTGCTCTTTTATATTCATTGTTCTTTTTTTCAAATGTCATTATGTTCAAAAATTGTGTAATCAAAGAGACTATTTAAGTTTAGCAAGTTGTCGTGTACTATTATTATGATTTTTATTTGATAACTAATATAAACAATTTCAAACGTTTTGACCTTTAATAACGGACAACGGATCAACAACTTGGTAGGCCCAAATAGCCTCTCTTATAATATAATTTTTTAATTGTTATTTTCGTTTTATATACATTAATTATCAGTGAATTATCACTATATCGTTACGATATAGAAATATCAAGAAAATTATAAAAAACGATTACATAAGTGTGAAATAATATCTTAGGCATAAGTTTATAAGGATATTCTAAATAATCTAAGTTCATGATATTCTAAAATTTATTTGAAATGTTTCACTCTCTCTCTAAAATTGATGCACGCGCGTATACATATATATGCAAACATACATATATGTTTGCAAGAAAAAATTAATTTACTTTTATATAAAAAGATTATTAAGAAAGTTTATTCAATCAAGCTTAATAATATTTTAGCTTAAATTGCGTTTTGTATAACATTGTTTACCGAATATCGCTGCACCATTGCAAAGTTTGAAACGAAAATATATGATCAAATTCAGAAATATATTTCTTAGGCAAATTTTTAGTTTCAATGTCCAATATTTCAAATTGAAGATGTTTTTTCATAGTAAATGTCTCACTCGCATATTTGATCATGCTCTCCGAAATATCCGTACCTTCACAAAATGCAAACATTGAATTAAATATGTAATTATAACACACATCGTTTTTTGTTATTATATTTCTGTAATTTATTATTCGTTTACCAATTATATGTGCATTTGAGCCAAGAGAGGGTAATAGAAATTCTTTCGTTATATCTCCAGGACCGCAGCCAATGTCCATACACTTTCCATGTATATTTATTAAATCTTCGCCAAATTCTTCGATTATAGATGATATTCTGTTCTTTTGTACTTTATCAAACTCACTGTAAACTTTTGGATTCTCCATGATTGTTCCAACTTCAGTATAACAATTTTGGACGCAATATGCTACGATATTATCTTACAGTAAACTTATATACTCAACGCTACCACCTAGTCACCTGACCAAAAAGGTAAAATAATGACTGCTTTATAATAAAGAAAGTGACAAAAATTATCTTTGAACATTAAAACAGTATTCAAAAATATAATATTATTTATTAATTTGGAATAATTAAGATAATTTACAACATAATAAGACATAATAATTTACGCGTCTCCTGACTTGTATAGCGTCTCGCAGTTTTTGAACATGGCCGGAGACGCTACGGCGTCTCCTGATAAGCAATTCGTGTAATTAAAAAAACATTAGGCTTCAGTTTAAAAATGTATCTTGAGTTGTTTTTACAAATGTGTTAATATTTATACTTTGAATAAACTGTGTTATACATAAAAAATATGTCACAACATTCTGTTTTTATCGAACAACAAATGTTTGTAGTCCATTTATATTTTTTATATTTATTATTTTTATTTTTATAAACCAAAATTAAGGCCGTGTTCGGATATGCACTGCCACTATTGAAAATCTACAGTATACGTAACGTGCACTATAGATTTTCAGTAGTGGCAGTGCATATCCGAACACGGCCTAAGAAAGTGATAATAAAAATTAATAATATTGAGAGAAGGCTCGACAGTAATATATAAAAATTAATAAAGTGTAACGGGCAACGAGCAAAAATAAAAAACAATAAATTTCAAAAGACATAAATATAATATATTAAATGTACAATAAATAAGAAAAGCAAACGTTTCGATACCGATCGATTCATTCGTAATGTTAACAATGATTAAATTCTTAACGGAAATTTTACAGAAATTAGAATATTTAGTTTTTACAAATGATTCGAAAAGTCTTGAAAATTGTGTAATTCATTAGGATGAATGCAAAATTATAATCAAATATCATATGTAATCAAATACATGATAACAAAAATCTAAATTTTTTTGTAAGTATTATAAGTATTTAAAATAACTTATGCAAAGTTGTATTGCAATTCACAGATGACAAAAATTTTGAACACACAAATAAGTATTTTATTTATTATATTTTCTAGACTGATCCATGTATCGTGTAACTTTATATAAATAATCTTAAATATATAAACTACTTACATAAAAAAATTGAGATTTTTGTTATTTATTGTATAATATATTTCCATACATTTCTATTAAAGCACAGATTTAAAAAAACACAAAATGTGTAAAACAAATTGGATGAGATAAATTAATCATTAAACATTGAAAATTTTGAATTTCTCATTTACCTAAGAAACGGTACGGTATTATATATACTATATATAGTATAATTAAAGTATTATATTACAATAATGTATTATATATTTATACAAAATTGTAAATGATTTTTCGTACTAAACAATCCTTAGCAAGTTACATTTTATAAATTCTTTTTTTATTTATAAACGACATATATATTTATAGATATAGAATACGTATTGTAAATAAAGTAGATAATAAAGTCATTTTATGAAAAATTACGCGAAAATAAAAATGAATAATGTTATTAAAATAATAAATAAGTTAACCTGCTAAAATAATGAATTTTTTGCGTCTTACAAATTGCCATATATTGCATCAATTATCTTTTTATGTTACTGACAATAGAAATTATATAAAACTGCTATTTACAATTTCTTGAGATACTTACATTAAAAAATAATATACACTATTCATTAATTTCAGTTTTAGATTTCTTGATTTCTTTGTAAAGGATAAACGCGATACATGTGTTTTGCACAAAAATGAGTCTACCTACTGCTCTAAAGACTTAGCACTTTAGTGCACTGTATTTATATATTATTTGTATACAAATTCTTGGAAACTGTTATTTTTCGAAGGAGCAAGATTAACCGGATTAGCCGGATAATGTCCGATCTTCGTAAATAAACTAAATGCTCGTATAAGGTCACAAGGTGCTCGTAGTAATATGCCCAATGATGTTCTGAAATTAATTCATTAACATGTATCTACACAATAAAAAAATTTTATGTTTTTCACCATATAGAGTGGTATTGAGAAAACTTGTGAATACGTGTAAAGCGATATCGTAAATAACTTCCAGGGAAGAAATATCAATAAAAAAATTTATCGTAATCTCTTTGAGACATGCACGATATACTTTGAAAGGCAAACAACATCATCAGAGTTCTTTATTCACACTATATGCAGCGAAAGGATATGTTTCGTGAATCGTTCTTAAAAATTTTAATAACAACATTGTGTTATGTGTCAAATTTTGTATTGCTAGTTTTATTTGTATAAAAACTAATTGTCACATAGAACCAGCGACGTAAAATTTGATATATAGTAAAAAGATAAAATCAAACGTTATTTATATAACAATGGATAAATGACGAAAAAGGAAAAAATCCATCACAAGATTTCTAAAACGTAAAACTGTTGCAATTAATTTCATTGAAGTGATGAGCCCGGATTAAAGTTCTGAGATCACGTGCATCGTAGTTAACTCCCCCCACTTTCAATTCGCCCAAGGCTGCAACGCGCGATGTAGTATCGATAGTGGGGAACGATGATATAGCAACGGTTGTACTCGAAACGAGGAACGGAACAAGCGAGAAAAATACTAAAACATATTAGATACATTAAACAGTTACTTCCAGATTTTCCCCATCATTTCGAATACTTTTAAAATAACTTTTTTCAATATTTTGTGATAACTTTTTTATTTATAAAAGTAACACAAAATAAATTACTGAAAAGTGTAATAGAGTAAGAATTTTGTTTTTGCAAGACCTTGGAAGTCTTAAGTTGCTTTTATTGGACAAGTTTAAAACAGCAATGCGGCTAGGTATGCTTGCCGTGCGATCGAATATGATTGGTTGGATCTACCATATAAGTAATAATCAATTATGTTTATTTGCTCGGCGAGCAGGCTAGCCGTTTGTCAACTTAAACGTGCCCATTGTCTCGTAAAATTGTTGCTAATTATTCCACCGCCGCGTTCCCCCCTATTGATGCTCTACCGTAACGGCTTCGGGCATGACAAGTGAGGCAAGAAACACACACTTTTGCATAACGCATAAAGCATGTGCATAAGGAATTTCATTGGCCCATTTCCTTATGCATGAGTCAATGTACCAATCTAATTCTTTATGTATATGGTTTATGCGTTATGCAAAAGTCTGTGCTCCCCGCTTGATAGTGGGGAGCAACGTGCTACGACCAACTCGAATTGGTATATCCGTCGGCAGAAAATCCGGGCTTTAATAATGACAGTTATAATTACATATTTTTCAGAGAGAGAGTACCAAAAAAATATTCTTCTAAAATATTTAATTTGTATTTTTCTAAATAAATTTAAAATTGCGATACGTGTTAGTGTATGTGAATATGTGTATGAGCTATGAGTAAGGTACAAATATAATGGTATTTAAACAATATCAAATAAAAGAAGAAGAGTTGGAAAACGTCTTTTATTTTGTACTCATGTTATATTTGATTATATAAGGCATTATAATTGGATTCAATTTGAACTGTTTCCCAAAGTGGATCACTCGCTGTTTGTATATAATTATATGATTAATTTAATTTAATAGATAGCAGTGTAGTAATTCGTGCAGGCAATGACTCGATTCATAATTCATATTATTTATTTTGTTTGTGTAAAAACAGAAAAAACTGATACATCGTGGTCGTGACATAATATTTTGTAAGTAATTGTTTTCTATAATTATGAAAACGTGGTTATATTTCTGTAGTTTATGTTATTGTAGCTTTATATTCATATTTTACAACATTACATTTAGTTTATATATTTTTGTCACCTTTTCTTTATTATAAAAAAAAAAAGAAATCCTTTATATGAGATGTGGATCAATGTGGTTCGGACCAATGTGGGTTGGAGCACATATGCAAGTGTGACATTTGTCACAAATATGTTCATGAAGATTGTGTGGAATTAATTAAAAATGATAAATGGTTATTTTACTTGTCTAATACTCTAAGTAGATCTATAAGCATAGTTTTAAGAAGGAGAAGTTAACACAGCTATTCAATGTTTAAATTGCTTAATAGCACTTTTAAATGTTTATATATCAATGTTTATGCAATAAATTATAAACTTCTAAAAATAACATTAAATCACTTTATTTTTCATATTTCTAACATTTTTGTATGAAAAAGGGAAGACACATACTACGTAACTCACATTTTGCTAAGATGCCTTAAATGCTACATATCTTTTTTTAGATCTTTACCGCATCTATATAAATATATATGAATGTGACCATTAATTTTCAATTTTGACCTCAGCAAAAAGTTAAAATATTCTCAAAGCTTAGAGAACCTATATTGGGCCTGGTTATCCTTTATAACAATACTTATTCATATTGCCAAATTGTTATTCAAATTTCTGTTTACGTTATTAAGTAACGCATTTTTATGCTTCTACTATTATATTATTATTATACTTCTCCTTTCCTTTGTTTTAGTTTTTACTTGTTAGCTGTAAATTGTAACCATATTTAAGGAACTAAAATTCTACTATATTATATATCATTCAAACATATAATAGAATATGGGAAGCATGACTATACGGTTTGTTAAAGCAGTTCTCTGTAAAGCAATTAAATTAAATAGCCAATTTTTGGTTTTCTATAACAATAAATTCGTATTTATAACTAATAATTTTGACTATCAATATTGACACATTCATAATCTAGTTTATTATAACGAATTCTACTAGTATATGCTTATATACATATATGTTTTGTGTATGGCGCGCACGTACCCATGTGTGCGTGTGTGTGTATGTATATATATATATATATTAATTAACGTACAAATATTACTTGATATGTATATGCAATATAAATGTTTAAATGTCCTGTGTATTAGACATTTTCATGAGAATATTTACATATATGTACATTCACACACAGTATTATAAAATCAAGAATAATAAAATTTCAGTGAAAGCTTTGATTAATTGTAATAATTATAAAAACGTTTAAACATTCGTGCATTAAACAGTTTTACATGCATATTTAATCAT